CCATGTTGGGCATGATGGTGTACGAGACCTCGGAGGGCTTGCACATCGGGTTGAGGTTGAGCCCGAAGTAGCACTCGGAGGACGCATACATCGTGCAAGCCTTGGGCAGGCCGCCGCTGTAGTAGTCGAGGGTCGGGATGTATTGGGCCATGGCCCCGGTCACGATCACGTCGAGGTACTTGGTGTTGGGCCAGATTCGGGGAATGATCCGCTCCCAATTCTCGAAGGAGCATTCGCGGGTGATGAAGTCGGCAAGGCACGGGTCGGGCTTCATGAAACGGGCCATGTAGGCCCGGATGTGCGGGTCGGTGATGTCCGGGTGGAGGGATCCAGATCGGATGTCGTCGGCCAGGCGGGCCCAATTGAGCTGGAGGAAGCGGATGGCTCGGAGGAGGCCCGAGGCGAAGACAGCTCCGACCCGGAGGACGTGCTCGCGTTCGTAAAGCCCGCACAACATCTGGGTATACATGCTCTGGAAGGAGTCGGGGCAGAGGATTGCCTCGTTCGGGCTGGTGTACACGTTAAACGGGTCGTGGGGGCGGGTCCGGAAGTGTTCGCTCTTGTAGTAGCTGGTCAGTACGGGTCGGGCCGGGAGCCCGCTGGGCGTCTGGGACTCGGATTTGATGAAGAGGAAGTAGAGGCCCTTGCCCTTGTCCAGTCCTTTCACATATCTGTTTTTCAGAAAGGAAATTGGTTCAAAAATCCACAAAAATGGGAAAAAAAATTAAATTAAGTAACATAATACGAAAAGAATTAATACTCACAAGTTCATGACAGGCATGAGAAGGCTGTACAACAGCTGGCGGCGGTCCAATTCTTCTTTGATAGTCGGCATGAGCTTCCTCTCACCGGCGGAAGTCCCCGAGCTGTTCGAAAAAAAAAATTGAAAAAAAATATATATATACGTTAATTTTTCCGACTCGTACGTTAAAGAAATCGAAACTAGCAAAAAAAATTGTCTTGGACTAACTAACCTGGTGAGAAATTCGGAAACAGGGTGGGCCGATAAAATCGGTGACCGGTCGCCGTTGGCGATCCTTTGAATCAAGGGCTGGAGATCCTCGTAGGAGACTATGGGGATTTTGGATTTGAAAGTTTCGCGGTCAGTGGCCCCTTCCAGATTGAAGCCCTTAAGGTATTCGGTCTCGGCATTTCGGGCCAGGATTTGGGCCAGGACGTTCTCCTGGACCGCATCGGCGTTTCGTGTCATCTCCTCGATGAACTCGAGGGCCTTGGCATCCTTCTCGCAGGCCGGTGGGCCCAATGGGGACGACATGATCGAGTCCACGGCCATTAACGGATAATTAAACAAAGGAATTTTGGGTTGAGAGAGAGGGATGAGGAGGAGAAAGAGAGAGGAAGTGAGTGAGAGTGATTTTTTTTTTTTTTGGCTCAAGTGATGGTGAGGAGTTTGGGGCAGAGGAGAGTGGTATTTATAGAAAGGGGAGAACAGAGGACGCCACGTCAAGTGACACGTCAAGGTGGGCCCGCAATACAGTGGAAAGTCAAGAGTGGGGGCAGTGTCGTCAATTGACCAGTGCAGCCCGGCTGGGGGACAGCGTGGGGCCCAGACAGATTGTCTTGGTCTACGGGGCGGGGGGCAGGTGGGGACCGGAGGTCCACGTCAGCAGGCGGGTTGTTGACTGGGGTTGGACTGTGGCGTGCGTCAGCCGACCAGCCGGGCACTTTTCCGGTAAAGGTGTTGGGCCTCGACAGCGACGGGCCGCCGGCCGGCCGGGGGCAATTTTCTACTGCTACAAATGCGTAATGGTTTTTTTTTTATTTATTTATTTTTTTTTTATTTTTTTTTTTTTGCGTAAGCACGTCTTTGATGTCACAATTGCGTGTCTGGTTTGTGTGGAATTTATTTATAAATTTGAATTATTACGTGTCTTAATTGAATTTGTTATTGTCTTTCATGGTTGGGCTTATTCGTGCGCCTTTTTGTGTGATTGTGACATAACGAGTAAATTATAACAAAATGGTCATTACAATAAGATAGTTTGTGCGTATGAGAAAATATGATTAATGTTCGACTGAAATGATCGGTGGTTGAATCGATTGGATTGATATTACGGGTGTGTTTGTTTATTAAAAAATTTTATTCATACTCAAAATTTAAATTAACTCAACTATCATCAGTATTATCAATATAATTAAATAATATCAACCGATCATTTTTATATGTCAAATCAACTTTAATTCATTATTCCTCCACGCACATAATTTTAACTAAACCTTACTTCACATCATATCTCTCATACTTTTACATCAAACCAACTTTAATTATTTTATTTTAAATAACATTTTAAATTCAAAATCTCACTAACAACTAAGCATACCAGTTTTTTTTTCTTTCAAATTTAATCATGATTAACAAAAAAAAATTAAAAATTGAGCGAATGTATTTGTATCCAAGTACGCCCTAAATTTATTAATATTTTTTTACATATGTATCTTATTTATAGTAATAAGTTTTATATATAAAAATAATTTTCATTGTGTGGACTTATATTTTTAATAAAGATGCACACTTATATAATAAGAAAATATTAAAATTTAGAAAACGAAAATTATCACAAATATGTATTTTCAGTTATAGAATATGACGAGTCAACCAGTCTAACGATTAGGCTGTTTCATAACAAAAATTAAGGGAAAGAAAAAAAGATATTTTTTTGGATATTAACAATAGTCATGAATGTCTTGATTTGTAGTTGATGATCATCATCACATTATGGGTTTGTCTAGTCATTGTGCATATTATAATTGACTGGTGTTTTGCCTAGAATAGTATTGTAGGGAGAGTTTTCTAATTAACCCATTTATGTCATTGTTATAAAGGTATAAAATATCTCATGTTGGGCATACTTTAAAATACAAAAGTATGTGCTAAGCTCCAATTTTTGAAAAAAAATGCTCAATATAACCTCAACCTATTTAAAAATCTAAACAAACGAAACTTATTAGAATACGAAAAATCTCGTAATCCCTCTAAATAAGCCATAAATTATTTACGGTACGTGCCCCAAAATGTTGATCTATGAAATTTGATTTTTACAAATGTAACTGAAAACTCGAAACATGAACACATGCACGATGAAAACATGGTTATAGAGACAAATAACACAATTGACGCGACCTGAAACATGAAACTAATAACACAAAATAAAAAAAAAATATAGTTAAATTTGAATTATCTTCATATTTATGACGAATAAATATGAATAACAAAAACAGTATAGTGAAATACGAACATGATATAACGATGTTGTTGGACAAAATTGTGGTGAAACTATTTTTTTTTTTTATTATAAATTTGTGTAAATAAGTATGTATTATTGTGTAAATAAGTATGTATTATTGTGACCTATTTTTTTATTATTTTATCTGTTTTTTAACCCATGTAAAATAAGAAAAGAGAAAATTGATAATAGTAGAAAAATGAAATCATGTGGTTGGTTATTTCCAGCACAGTTCCTTGAATTATTGCTGAGTTTTCAGTGTGAAATCTGAGGAGTAAATTGTTGCTTGAATTATGTATTACAAACTTATATGCAGAGGGGATGGAGCCCTGTCTTGTGTCCTCATATAAAGATAAAATTATGGACTATATTAATGGCTATACATTTTTTTTTACTATATTACACATTTTTTTATTTTATTTTTTATATAGCTATATATATATATACATTTTTTTTTTGGTAGAAATTTCTGCATTTGCAATTGAAATTTGGGTATTAATAAAAATATAATCAATTGTATGCACACACACTGAATAAAAAAAATTAAAAAGAGCAAACAAAAGAAATTATTTTGCTACAATAATTAGGCTCCTTGCCATAAAATATTAAAAAAAAATAATTAGTTATTAATTTACTTAGAGAACACTAGTTCCTAAGCACACACCAGAATTTGTCCTCTTATATAGGTTTTATATAATATTTTCTAAAGTAAATTAATATACTGGAAATGTTGACCTTTGTTTAGTATTACTCTTTACTACTACAATAAAAATAAAAATACTCGTGTACTACACGGGTGTGTGAGTTAAGAAATATATGATAAAATTTATTATTAAATAATTTGTTTATTTAAAAATTTTGATGTACTAATTGGTGGAAAAAAAAAGGAATAGACAATGTAGAAAATGATTTATAAATCGTATTTAGAAGAGAAATATAAGAAAAAAATTATAATATGGTAAGATTGCTATTTGCCTAAACTAAGAAGTAAATGTGTACTAAGAAAAAAAAAAATT